TATGAATAATTGATAAATTAAGTTATTAATTAATATCAGAAATTAGTATTCAATTTTATTAATCAATTAACAGAATAATTGATAAATCTATTTTATTAATATGAAGAGATTGAGTCGAAGAAAAATAGAACTATAGTCATGAATATTAAAAAAATTCTTTAAATCTGAATCAAGTCTTATAGTTGGAGGTTTTAAGGCAATTGTTTCGCTTTCTAATTTCAAACTTCTCCAGACTAAACTTTCAAACTTACTCAAGTGGAAATTGGAATTTAGTTAATTTTTATATCTGAATGACAAAACTACCCATCTAATTTTTGGGGGCTATTTCTATATCATGACGCCCGGTGGCTGAGTGGAGCCACAGTGGTTCGATCCTTGGGCCGGGCAAGGTTGATTCAGCCTTTCATCCCTTCAGTAGGACCGATGAATGAGTATCATGGGAGCTAAACACTAGGGGTTTTGCGCTCGGCTGACCCCCTAACCGGAACATCTGCTCCTGCACTCCAGAGCCCAAGGTCAAGAAAACTAAGATGGGCACAGTAGGCCTTGGCCCTTTATAGGCTGTCGCGCCACTGAGTTCAGTTATTTCTATATCATCAGTCCAGAATCTTATTTTCAATCTAGATTAATAATAATGTTCTTTGTAGTCTTGGAAGTAAAGGAAATGTCTTTTAGCTGTCACCGACGTTTGTGATGCTGTAGTGTGTCTACCAATACATAAATACAATTCTAATTCACTAGCATATAAGATATGCTAACTCGCTTCAATGTTGGGGTACCTTTTCATAGATGAATTGTCGATATGGCTCTCCCCACAATGCAATTGATATTAAATAACCTTGCAAATTTTATTTTTAAAGTTTTATTCTAGGACCAATATTGAAAAATCTAGATCTCAATGGACCCTTGGTGCATGTTCTTATAAGAACCTTAGGCCACCTCTTAGGCCACCATTCTTAGGTTACCTCTGCCATGTAAAAGAAAAAGGGACAAAAAAAATTCAAGTTGAGATATGTTTGGCATCTTTCTATTATAAGCTACATATCGGAAATAAATGTTTTTCAAAAATGAAATTTGTTTTATCAGTTTTAGAAAAATCTATTTTAGCGTTTATAGCATTAGCAATAGAGAGAAAACAGTTGCGAAGCCACTTCTTATTGAAATCAGTAACGAAGCACTTGCATTGTTTTTCATATTGCACGACAAAACTGGAGCCAAAGTAAAATTGTTGCTTGGGTATTGTTTTTGGTTATTATTTTTTATTGGCGAGGTAGCTAACCAAAGATTTTGGTGCGATAATGGTTTTTTTTTTTTATTATTATTTTTTTATACAAAAAACTGGCGCTTTCGGTAAAATTTAAATATTGCAGTTTGAGAAAAATTACATGAACTTGAAATTCTTTACATAACTTTACATAAACTTCAAACTTTAACTTTAACTTTACATAAACTTCAAAAACTTTACATAAAAACTTTACATAAACTTCAGATAAATTAGATTTTGGTTTGGGTGAACGAGAGGACAAAATTTTTTAATGGGCTAACAATTTGCTAAAATGGGAGACAAAGTTTTAACTGGTGTTTTTTGATCGGAATTGAGATAAAATTCGTTAGGAGGCAAACTTTAAGCTTGCGGTTTCTGGGAAAAAGAATCGCAATATTTTGTCAAGGCCATATTGTAAGAGAAGTTTAAGTTAAACGAAACGTTTTAGTGGGGTAAGGATTGCCTACTATGGATTTTGCTTAAAAGCAAAATTCAAGCCTCGGGTTTTTTTAAGTTAAAAACTTGTATTGGCCATTAATCACTTTAATTTACAAGTGGGTTTCCCGAAAAAGCTTAAATTTCAAGGCAAAAAAAATAAACTTTCAGTTTGTAGATCAAAAATCGTCGCTTTGAAACTAAACCGTGGTAACTCAAAAAAGCAAGTTTTTCAGGAGAGTGATTTCAAACTTTCCGCCCTAATACTAATCGCGGGAATGCGATGACGATTTATCTGCTCTCTAAAGTAACTTTATGGAACTATAAAGATAACAGGTTGTTTTTCTAAAAGGGTGACTTTTTTTACACAAAATGACCCAAAAATCTCATTTTTCGACTTTTTTGAGTTACAACGGTTTAGTTTCAAAGCGACGAAATGATCTAAAACGTTTCCTCGTAAATACTATAATAGACTAAAAATATTTTTCGGGGGGTAATGGTTTGCTTAACGATTTTCTATAATGAACTTGCTATTAGGTTAAAAAAATAACAAAAATCTTATTTCCTTATATACTTGATGACTTTGGAGAAGATAATGATAATTTTTTTGGTAGGATAACGATTTACAATGAGTACGCTAACAGCAAAATTACTTTAGTTTAAGCGACGAGTTAACGAAAATGTTTGGAGGGTGGACGTGATCTAAATGCTTCTTACAATGCGTTAAATTTTAAGACAAAATTCAATTTTATATTTGCCCACTTTACAATTTAGGCTGAATTTGCTTTTTACCGAAAATTGTTTGGAGGGATAACGGTTTCCTACAATAAACTCTAATTTCAGGCAGACAATGGTGTTGGTCAAATGGCTTATAGTGTTTCAGATAATAACTTAACTATATCTTAATTTGAGCCGTGGTAGTTCAGGGGATAGAGCCTTCAAATGAGGTGAACGGGGTTTGATTCCCAGCGAAGGCTAGTCGATACGGATTCCACACCTGGCTCGCAAAGACCGCAGTGCTAACATAAAATATTCTCAGTGGTAGACCGATCATGGGTTAGAGTCTCCTTGCCATCAGGCTACCATGAAAGGTTTTCAAAAAGTCCTCTTGGAAGGCAAATTTCTCCCAATACGTTACACAGGAGTTCCCTTGTCTTCTGGATTAGGTTCAAATTTAGAAGGTTATGGAGTTGAACATTAGCAGTCGTAAACCCAAAAAAGTGGATCGGCTGTTCAACGACCGTTATAAAATTATAAAATATTTCTTAATTTGATAACTGTTTTTGGATGGAAGGCTTAACATTTATCTACAAGAAATTAATGTTAAATTGCAAAATTCAAATTATTTTTTTTAACCCAGTTAGGACCTCTTTTTGCTGTAGTTTTTTAAATTTTTGATCGACGGCTTAGTGGAATTTTTGACGAAATAACACAAAATAGTAATTTCTCCCAATAAGCTAAGAGTTATGAAGAATTTTGGTTCAAAAATTAGCTTAATCAATCATAAACTGCTTTGGCTTAAAAACACTTTTGGGTAGGTTAAAATAAAACATTCCTGCAACAATGGAACAGTGGCTCATAGATATCAAAGATCTACAATTTCATGACCAATGCAATGATGTTTAGCATTTACTATGCTTTCTGGGCAAGTTGGCAAAAAATAATTTGGAGTTGGTGTGCTTCGAGTAAACATCTAAGCCAATCCATCCCAATATTACCGCAGTGAGACTTTTTTTAAAATCTTTTTGTTTTAAAGAGAAATTTTTTTAAGTTGGTTGGCTAATGAAAGTTTTTGATGCCAAACAGAGGCTTACGATATATTGTTAGGGTCCAACTGAGTTGTTAAATTTGAATCTTCTAAAATCGTGAATTTTTACTTAACAAGAAAGTTAACAAGAAACTGCTTTCGTCATTATTTTCAGTTGGGTTAATGTTTTTTTTTAAACTATTTATAGGTGGAGTGGGTAACAAAGTTTTGGTTGACAAATGTCTGATAATTATTTCCTACAATGGACCAANAATGTCTGGTAATTATTTCCTACAATGGGGCAAATTTTGAACTCAAAGTCCGATTTCTTTTTATTTTTTATTTTATATCATAACCGTCGTTAAACAGCAGTACGAATTTTCAGTTTACGGCAACCAATGTTCAACTCCGTAGCCTTGTAATTTTGAGCACAATCCAGAACTATTGGATCAAGTATTGGAAGAAATTCCCCTTCATGGATGACATTTTAATGGAACTACCTCTCATTTGCGTTAAGTGGAGAGAAAAACCATGAAGACCTCCCACGGTTAGCCTGGCGACAAAGGGGACTCTAACCCATGATCCGTCTATCACTGAGGATATTTTAAGTCAGCACTGTGGACGGTGCGAGGCGGGTGTGGAATTCAAATTAACCTGCCTTCACCGGGATTCGAACCCAGTTCACCTTATAGAGGGGCGAGTGCTCAATCCCCTGAGTCACCACGGCATAGACAGCAAGTAGCTAAACTTGTTAAATAAACTTGTGAAATAAACATATTTAGCTTTCGGGACGCAAAGATAAATAACACAAATGCCATTAGAAGGTATTAAGTGGGACAGGCAGCAGTACTACGTTGAACAATGATTAACAAAGTTAAGAAAGGGAGGTTTTTTATTTATTTATTATAAATCATTTTAGTTTATGAATATGTTTCACCTACTGTCACAGTAACACTTTGTGAAATGTTAACAATTTACTCTTTTATTTAAATCTTATCTTTTAATTTTTTAATCCTTTATTTCTTTTTTATTTATAGAATTTATTTCACACGAAATTTCCCTAGTGAATTTCTTAAATTAGGGTTTCGTCTTCTCGATTTAAATGCAAATAATTTTTTTAAATATCTTGTTTGGCAAAACTTCACTTTTCTTATTATAAAGAATATTAACTTTCTGTTCTCTTCTCTTCGCTGGTCATCACGGTTATTATAACTATCGCTCTGATACCTTTCTCTCTCTCTAGCACTCTTTCTGATACTTTAAGACGATAATTTTAAAATAATTATAAATATCAAAGGTTATTTTATTGTATAGAAAATATGTAACACGATAAATTATCTTTGTCAGTGTGATGACTGTATTATTGCTACAGGTTAATTAGATATCTGCATATAAATGCATAATGCAATTGATTTTGGTTAGAGATAAATGCCATTTATTTCAGTTAAAATATATCTTTATTGTAATTTATATATTGTTATATGATATATTTATACGTTATTATTATACGATATGCATATATATTTCAATAAAAAGCATTGAAGGAAAAACGTACATTGCCTATTAATGTTCCGCATGATGTCCAGGAGGACGGACGATAGCAAAACCATTCTACAAATAAATAAAATATTTTATTGAAAAAAAAGTAGACTATTTGTAGATTTATGTACAAATCTTGTAAAAAAGACTAAACAAAAAATGTACTTGGAAAAAACATTAATTGATTTTCGAAGTTTCTTATATAAATTATTTTAAAATATCAAAATAAGTATTTCATTTAAAAAGTGCTGTTACCGTTAAATCTGTTACTCTTTTTTCCCAAACTGTTTTAACCAACGTTTTGGGGCTTTTTCCCCTTAGTTAAAATATGTAATGATGAAATTATTTGTGTTACTGCATTTTATTGCTAAAGTCTTCAACTCCTCAGTAAGTTTTGTCCTTCAGTGACCTAAAGTATCCCTAAAAACTTTAGTCTTGGAAAAAAGTAATGTTTGAAGGAAAACGAAATTAAATATGTAAAGAAACAATGTAAGGAAAACAAAATTATTCTTATAGTAGTAATGAACAAATTAATTAGTTGATTTAAAAGATGTAGCAAAGCAAAAAATTTTCAAGATTATTTATATACTAACATTTTTCTGTAACATTCTTGCAGCACTTGCTGTGTGTAGATCATTCCAGGTTGTGTCAGAATCTACACCAATGCCACCACAAGGCAACATCACAAAATTCTTCATTGGAAGATCAGCTACAGTTGATTAAATATTAAACTTTTATTTTTAATTACTATTATCATTAAATTATAAACTTATAAAAGTCATTTGAAGTAAAAGAAAAGTTTCAAATTACATTAAAATAAGATTTAAAAATTTTTTTTTAAAATTTCCATTTTAAATTAAAAGGGTTACAAACAATAATTTCAATAAAATAAAATAATTATATTATTCAGTTTCTTAAATTAAAAATCTTTAATTTTATACCTATTTAAACTGAGAAATGTATTTCCATGCAGTTAGAGGTTAAGTAGTTCTTTATTAAAAAAAGAAAAGATTTATATTTTAAACTCATATAGTTTGCCGATACAGAATGTTATTAGAGAAGTAAAACAGTGCTTAAATAATTAAGTTTCATCTTTCATTCAATTTTTTNTTAAAATATGTAATGATGAAATTATTTGTGTTACTGCATTTTATTGCTAAAGTCTTCAACTCCTCAGTAAGTTTTGTCCTTTAGTGACTTAAAGTATCCCTAAAAACTTTAGTTTTGGAAAAAAGTAATATTTGAAGGAAAACGAATTTAAATATGCAAAGAAACAATGTAAGAAAAACAAAATTATTCTTATAGAAGTAATGAACAAATTAATTAGTTGATTTAAAAGATGTAGCAAAGCAAAACATTTTCTCAAGGTTATTTATATAGTAGCATTTTTCTGTATGATGATTGATAATAAGCTTATCATTGTATTGCATAACTATCAAGCATTAAAATATAGATATTAATAATACCTCTATTTCATCTGTTGCTACTTTCATGGAAAATTCAACAACACATCCAGCAGCCATTCTTGCAGCACTTGCTGTGTGTAGATCATTCCAGGTTGTGTCAGAATCTACACCAATGCCACCACAAGGCAACATCACAAAATTCTTCATTGGAAGATCAGCTGCAATTGATTAAATATTAAACTTTTATTTTTAATTACTATTATCATTAAATTATAAACTTATAAAAGTCATTTGAAGTTAAAGAAAAGTTTCAAATTACATTAAAATTAGATTTTAAACATTTTTTTAAAATTTCCATTTTAAATTAAAAGGGTTACAAACAATAATTTCAATTAAATAAAATAATTATATTATTCAGTTTCTTAAATTAAAAATCTTTAATTTTATACCTATTTTAAACAGAGAAATGTATTTCCATGCAGTTAGAGGTTAAGTAGTTCTTTATTAAAAAAAGAAAAGATTTATATTTTAAACTCATATAGTTTGCCGATACAGAATGTTATTAGAGAAGTAAAACAGTGCTTAAATAATTAGGTTCCAACTTCATGATTTTCTTTCATTCAATTTTTTATCTTGTTAAGTTAATTAAAATTAAATATGAACAAGAAATTGCTTGAGACAGACAAAAGAATTGGATGATTTGGTTCTTTTCATTTTAAAATTTAAACTTAATGTACATCTCGGTGAAATTTAAAAACTGTTAAAAAAAAGTATTTACAACAATAAACTGTTTAGTTTCACCATATATTGTAATCTAGTTTTAATATAGCGTAAAAAATTTTTTCAACCTTTGCATGAATGAATAATCATAAAACTGTTATCAAAACAAAAACCATTTTAATACCTAATTTGCTGGCATCAAGTTTCGGTCGAATCAAAGGATTGGCCCCAAATAAGAGAGTATATGATTCACTAAACAAGCAAATAAAGAGAAAATGTAATATTTCAATAAACTGTAAATTTAGGATTTAATATA